ATCAACAGGTAACATGAGTGAGAAATAAATGTTCGAGACCGTAAGATTCTGGAAAACCGGAGTTGTTGGTTACTAGAGAAGCTGACTAAATGGGAGACACTTTTTTTCGATAATTTATGATGTGTCTTGGTAACACCTGATTTTTTTAAAACCATGTATATGCATTACTTTGATGGATTTTTTTTTTAATTTATTCTTTTTTAAAAAGATGCCTTCTGGGGCACCTGGGTGGCTCAGTCAATTAAGCATCTGACTCTTGATTTCAGCCCAGGTATTGATCTCAGGGTTGTGAGATCGAGCCCAATATCAGGCTCTGCGCTAGGCGTAGAGCCTGCCTAACATTCTCTCTCTCCCTCTCCCTCGACCCTTTCCCAACCTCCCCACTCTCTCTCTTTCTCTGTCTCTAAAAAAAAGAAGAAAAAAAGATGTCTTCCTTTAAAAATTTATAAATTAGCTTTCTGATTGATAGTCTCTGGTGAGTAGGGTTAGCATAAATCAGTCCTCAGAACCCAAATACACCTAGGAGCACTAAGAAATTTAATTTCCTGAGCAGCAAAAGTGAGGCTCCAATCAGTACTCATGTAACTACAATAGCGATGTGCTTTAGCTAAAAGATCTCTATCTTACTTAAATTTCAAACTCTGTACTGCAAGTTACAAAGTGACTGAATACATGAAAGAAACACTAATACCCAGGCAATACTTCTTAAGAGCTTCAAGCTTTCTAATAATATCATCGTACACAAATAGACTTTTAAAATTTCTTTAATTTAAACTTCATTTATCCAAAAATCACATTTCATGATACAGGGTTAAGTATTCAATTTTAAAATGTCTTAATGAACAAAAAAAGAAAATTATGAGATATTTTATCTAAATAATATGAAAATTTATCAAGTCATTTAGAAATATCTAGTTAGCAGAACAGTTTAATAAAAGTTTCCTGAATAAAAGTATATGAATGAATGAATGAAGGCATGTATGCATGGATGGATAGATGGATGGATGAGCTACCAAATTGATAATATGCTTGGCTTGAGACTTTGCTCTACTCATTAAAAATTTCCAAGTGTTCACATATGAAAAGTTTTTAGAAGAGAACAAAGGCTTATTTTCTTTTCAATAAATCTATGGTCATGAACATACAATAATGCTGCTATACTTCTTTTTTTAAATGAACTATAATTTAGATAGGCCTTTCCCATACCCACAAGACTGAATTAACAAGGTTTTATAGGAAACCATAATCTCAACCTAAGATAAAATATATATACATTTCGGGACACCTGGGTGGCTCAGTCGATTGAGCGTCTGCCTTCGGCTCAGGTCATGATCCCAGGGTCCTGGTGTCGAGCCCCGCATTGGGCTCCTTGCTCAGCGGGGAGCCTGCTTCTCTCCCTCTGCCTGCCTGCCTGCCGTTCCCCCTGCTTGTGTTCCCTCTCTCACTGCCTCTCTCTCTGTCAAATAAATAAATAAAATCTGAAAAAAAAAAAAAAAGACAGTGTTAAGAAAACAAAAAAGGCAAGCCACAGAACAAGAGAAAATATTCACAATACATATACACAAAGAACTAGTATCCAGAATATAATAAATAAAACTAACAACTTAATAAGAGGAAGACAACTTAACTTAAAAATGGTGAAAAGACAAGCACTCCACAAAGGAAGATGTACATATAGTTAATAAATACATGAAAAAAATGCTCAGCATCATTAGTTATCAGTAAAATATAAAATAAAACCACAATAAGATAAAAGCATCATGGTACAGTAATCGAAATAATTAAAACTTTTTTTAAGAACCTACTCTTTGGGCGCCTGGGTGGCTGAGTTGGTTGAGCACCCAACTCTTGGTTTCCACTCAGGTGGCGATCTCAGGATCGTGAGATCAAGCCTCGTGTCAGGCTCCACAATGGGAACGGAGCCTGCTTGGGATTCTCCCTCTCCCTCTGTCCTTCCCCCCGCACTTTTGCTCTCAAAAAAGAACTTACTCTTAAGCTCTTAATATCTATATTTATTCACATTTTTCTGAAAGTTAACATGAGATTTCCTGGATGTGAGACAGAGTGTTACTAATTCATAGCAATAACCACACTGGTTCCCCTTTTAACCCAATTCTTCTGCCTGGGCAACAGGATGAGAGCCAGATATCATCCTGTACATACTGGGATTTGTAATACAGGTGAGGAACACCAAAATTGTGAATCTGGGAGTTTATATAAAAGAGAGACAGAGGTCCCCCTTAACCCCGAGAGAGGGAAACATTTGCTTCCTTAGTGTCAAAAATTTTCCTTGGCACGTGAAAAGAGAAGAGTACCAGGTACCTACCTCACAATGTAAGCTGATGAGTTTTATCAGCCTCTGGATGGGAATAAATAGCTCACCATAAAGATGAACGTAAATAATTGTCTCTAAGAGGAAGACAAGTAGCCTCTGTGGGTTTCCAAGCACTGGAATATTTCCATGGCCCTGAGGTTCATTACTTCTTTTTTTTTTTTCAAATTATAGGCTATGTTTTTCAGATGTATTTTCAAGTTTACATTGCCTTGTATATTGTTTCAGAAAACATCGATATCATGCATATACATCTTTTTTATTATTATGTTAATCACCATATATTACATCATTAGTTTTTGATGTAGTGTTCCATGATTCATTGTTTGC